TAACATTTGATTTTTTAAAAAATATTTTTGTATAGTTCCATTTTATTTTCATATAGACTTTGGATTCATTGAAAATATTGACATATAGATTATAGTTTTAAAAATTATTCTGTCAAAAAGTACTCTTCCATTTCTAACCAGGATACCTTATTTAAAATTTTGCCTTTTTCAATTAAAAAATTTTGGGAGACTTTATTTCTTCATAGTCTACCTTGATTTAAATTTGTCACATTTCTGTCCTTGACAAAGTAAATTCATATATTTAAAAGGACAAATTGGCATCTTAGTGCATAACACAAGGGACAAGGCCCTTACCTCCATCTCTGTCCTGATGGTGACTGGATCTTAGAGTACAAAACTCTGTGCTGAAGAGAAAGGGGTCACTCCATTGGGATATGACCCACTGTATCCTATCAGAGCACAGACACTCCAGTAAGCTATCAGACCATGCAGAAGACTTGGATTTTTCTCTTCTTTCAGGGGAATCGAAATTTTTGTAGCAAATTCAAACTGTCTCATTATAGTCAGATGAGCTGAGGCTAACTGAAAGCCTGTGCTTTGTTACTGATATTTTTTAACCCTTTCTGCTCAACACTTGACCACAAACCACCTATCCCAAAACTTTCACTGCTATTTGTAGACATACACCCTGGCCTACAACGATCAGGAGAGTTCCCCTTGTGATAATAGTAACTAACTAGATCTAGCTCATTATATCAAATATCCCAGTAGCCTCCAGCTTCTGATTTTGACATGTAAGGCCCTAGGCTGATGCTCATTTCCAACAGTCTGTGTCATTATGCATCCAAGACCTTGATGAGGTCAAAGCATACCAGCCTGTCAACTGTGGGAGGGCTTTCACTCTCTAGTCTAGGATTAGACAAATGAACTAGCTCCATATGAGAGTTCCAAAATAATATAATAATAAAGTGAGTGATCTGAAAGAACAAAGTGAGAGTTCTAAAATATTATTTTAGCATCACTTACTTGGGCTTGTCCCAGGAAAACCTCAGGTTTCTGAAAGAAGAACCGTCATTCCTGTTTTCAGGAGACATCCCTCACTGTGTTGTGATGTAATTGGATCCAAATATTAGAAATTTCCACTTAGGAACATGGCTGACTGTGAAGCCCAGGGCCATCCAAAACAAAGTTCTCAATCAGCAAAACAGCTCGTCTTCTAAGCAATTCCTTGAACACCAGCAGATGAGGAAACTGAATGAGAGAGGCTTAGAGGTTGAGTAGCTTGCCTAAGCTGATGAGGTGATGCTCAGGCAGATCTCAAATAATGCCATTTTCAGAGTTCATTAATTTACTCTGGAGGAGATGGTTTCTCACAGGAAGATGGATCTCCAAATGGATCTTAGGCAAATCACTGATCCATTCTGTCCCAAGTAATAAAAATGAATTGAGAGAATTTACATTTCTTCTGGATATGCAGTCCGTGTTAGTTATCAGTCATGGGAGTAGAGAGTAGTATTGTTGATGATATTCTGTAGAATACTTTTTATCAGAATAAGAACCAGGGCCCTCGATGCTGTTAGCCAATGTTCTCATCTGTTTCTACCCAGTTTTTCTCAACATATATTCTGCTTATAAATTTTGGGTGTTAGAATAAAACATTGGTTTTTATGGTCACACAATTGCCATTTTGTGTAAAAAGGAGATAATTAACCAAACATGTTGCTCCCTAAAATGCGTAGCATACTACAGTTAGTACCTTACACTCCAGCATAATCCAGCTTAATAAGTATTTTTAAAGTAGCAAAATAATAAGGGACTGCTCATGAAAGAATGCTGTCACATCTTTTGTGAGCTTAAGCAACTCAGTGAAAAGATTATCTTCTAAATTTTGTGTATGTAAGTAAGATACTTAAATATATATTAAAATTCACTCTGATTTTTCTTTTAGGGGTGATTATGTAAACGCTTTGGCTCATTATGAGAAAGGAATAACAGGTGATAATAAGGTAAGTTTGAATAAAGATAAGATGCATAATTATCTCTGGGTTTATTGTTAGTTTCATTTAAAACATCATGATCTTATTTGCATTGTATTTATTTAATATTTAGCAGGCGAGCCTTTTTTCAATTTATTAACAATTTTGCAGGATATAGTTAAATCATTTTAAAACACTTTACACTCTTAAAAACTGAAGATACTATTTTTATCAGTCTGAAAAGATATGTTTTCCATTGCATCCTAAACATGAGCTCCTTATTAGGGTTAGGTGTAAGATTTTTATCCCTTCCCATTTATAGGCTATGATTTTCATAAGGCTTTTCCTTTTATTCTTAAAAAATTTCAGTAACGAATTTGAAAGTGAATTCTCTGGCCATAAAAGTTCTGCAGTTAGATCTCTCATGATGAAGCTGGTAAACATGAACTTTACTCATCACTCCCACTCATTGTCTCATCCCAGAATTTTAGTTCAGGAAGTCAAATATTGCAATAAAAATTTATGTTTTTAAGTTAGGTGATATCTTGTAAAGATTGAAAATCCTTTTATTTTGTTTTATATCTAGTATTTTAATTACAAAAGTAATGCAATTTCATTATAATCAATTGAAAAGTCACCAAAGAGAGAATCCAACATTTTCTCCTCCATCCAAACCCCTTAGTGGTTACCACTCTTAATGATTTTCTGTATTCCAACCAGAGTGTCTTCTAAGCATACAAATATGTATATAATACAGATTTTTACATATGGAATGAAATCATTTCCATTCAGTAAATATCAACTGAAAATCCATTCTGTGAAAAGCAGCATTTTGCTTGCTTCGTGGTTTTTCTGAGTCAATACATATGAGTCTGTTTTAATATTAGAGCTTCTAAAATGCCATTGTTTGGATGTACAGTAGTCCCCCCATATCTGTGAGTATATGTTCCAAGACCCCCAGTGCCCCAGTGGATTCCTGAAACCATGATTATACCGAACCTTATATACTCTTGTTTTTTTTTCTATACATACACACCTGTGATAAAGTTTAATTTATAAATTAGGCACAGCAAGAGATGAACAACAGTGACTAGTATAAAATAGAATTATAAAGTATACTGTAATAAAAGTTATGTGAATGTGGTCTCTTTCTCAAAATATCTTATTGTACTGTACTAACCTTTTCACTTAAAGGAAGCACATTACTGTTTCTCTTTGGCCTATCCGAATTGCCGGCATTACTACTCTTGAGTTTTGGGGCCCTTATTAAGTAAAATAAGGGTGACTTGAACACATGCACTGCGATAGCGTGACAATGGATCTGATAACTGAGACATTTACTAAGTGACTAGCAGGCAGGGAGCTCATACGGTTTGGATATGTTGGACAAAGGGGTGATGCACGTTCCTAGTGGGTGATGTGAGATTTCATCACGCTACTCAGAATAGCCAGCAGTTTAAAACTTATGAATTGTTTATTTCTGGAATTTTCCATTTCATATTTTCAGACCATGGTTAACCATGGAAAGTGAAACCATGGATAAGAGGGGATGACCTTACCATAAATTTTTCATCCACTTGCTTACTGAATTATAATTGTTTTTGTTTCTGTTTCTATCAAAAACACTGCAATGAATGGTCTACCCAGTACATGTATCTTTAGCTACCTGAGGTAGTATTTCTGAAGGCTGTATTCTTACAGGTGGGATTTCTAGGTCATAAAATGTGTGTTTTAAATTTTTTATACTGCTAGATTGCTCTCCGAAAGCAGTGGTAGTAATTCATACAGCCATCAACTCATGTATAAAAGTGTCCATTTCCCCCATAATCTCAACAACACTGAATGTTATGAAGTGTTTTCTCTCTACCAATTTAATCAGCAAAAAGGTATTTCACTTTATGTTTTTGACTGTTAATGAAGTGGAGTTTGTTTTATTTATTGGCCAGTTGTATTTTTTTTTTTTATGAATTGCCTGATCATATTCCTTGCTCATTTATCTCTTGGGTGTTTGACATTTTGTCAATAGGCTACATCTATTTTAGTTCATTCTTTGTTTGTGTTATCAAATATAGTCATCACTAGCCACATGTGGCTATTTCAGTTTTTAGAAATTAAATAAAATTCAGATCCTCTTAAAATAGTCATATTTTAAGTGTGCAGTAGCCACTTGTGGCTGTTCGCTACCATGTGGGACAGGGCAGATAATAGAACATTTCCATCATTGTAGAATGTTCTACTAGACATGCTGCTTTACATAAAATGTAATCGGCCATCACATTTTACTAGTTCAGATTAGTTATTTGAAAAGTTTTTTAGTTATCTTTAATGAATTAAACAATTTTAATTGAAGTTTTTCTGTTATCATGCCTCGTAGAGAGATATTCAATAAATGGGTTTTCTCTTAATTTTATTCATAGCATTAATGCTATATATCCAGTATATTTCTTACATAAAGTTTTATACCAAGAAGACATACACAGATATGCAATGTATTAGGACAGGGTAGTAAAAGTTTGGTCTTAAGCTCAAAACATTTAGACTCTGAAGACAAAAATACAACTTCGCAACAGATGATTAAAAAAAAACAACTCAACCTTATTTCAGAATCTTGAGGTCTACTTGAAAGGATTAATAAAAGTAAACCATAACCTTTGGGCTAATTGGAGATTTAAATTAATTGTTTGGCTAACATACAGCATTTTAAGCTAGGGTCTGATTTGTCAGTTATCTGCCTTCTAATTGTAGGAACATGATGAAGTATGTCTGGCTGGAGTGGCTCAGATGTCCATAAGAATGGGAGACATACGCCAAGGGGTTCACCAAGCCCTCAGGCATCCCAGCAGGGTCCTCAAAAGAGACTGTGGGGCCATATTGGAGAATATGAAGGTATGCTTTTCTATACTTCAGTAGTCATGTGGTCTCATACATAATAAATTTAGTATTTTAATAGTCTCATATCCTTTTAGCAATTTTCAGAAGCAGCCCAACTGTATGAAAAAGGTCTCTACTATGACAAAGCAGCATCTGTCTACATCCGCTGTAAGAATTGGTAAGAATTTGCTGAAATCTGTTCTGAGGAGGTGTGGAAATGAATGCATGCCAGTGGTCTCCCCACCTGTTTCCTTGCTGTTCCTCCTGCTTGTACATCCTGTCCCCCCTATCTGGGCTTTGCCTCCACCTCCTTTTTTTCCTTCTTAGACGAGTTCATATAAATAGCTTTTTCCAAAGAACAGCACATTCTGTTGGTTTGGTATGAGAAAATCCCTAATCAGGTTAGTTACTAGAAAGAAAAAAATAATAAAAGCCCCATTGCCCCTGAAGAGTTAATGAACTAACCTTCATTTCAACAGGAGTGGGCTGGGGGGTGATGAGAAAAAGCAGTTAAATCTAGTTTTACCTGTAGGAGTCAAAGTTTTTTAAACATAACTTTTTTTTTTGAATCCCAAGAACTAACATTTGATTGTAGAAAGCTACTGTTGGCGTGCATCTAGTGCTGATATTTTTCTCCTAAACCTGCCTTTGTAGGGCAAAAGTTGGTGAGCTTCTGCCTCATGTTTCTTCTCCAAAGATTCACTTGCAGTACGCCAAAGCTAAAGAAGCAGATGGAAGGTTTGTACAGTTTCTCAAATTTACACAAACTTAAAGTAATGTTTTATAAATTAACAATTGATATTTGCAACCTTCTGAGAAACACAAAGCCGAGAAAACATCTTTACCCGCTGTATGGCCTGAAGTACCAGAGTAAATCTCCCCCATGCTTTATATTCCTCAGTCAACGCTTTATGTATTCAAATATAGACTACTGTCTCTTTTTGAGAGTTAAATACTAGAAGTTGAAATTTTGATATAATATGCCATGAAAATGAAATTAAGCAGTAGTCATTTTTATTGAGGATAACTTATTGATGCAGAGGGGGAAAATGAAGGAATATAAATTCCGTACCTGTGGCTGTACTTTTTAAGCTGCATAATAGTATTAAAATATAGCAATGGACAGTTAATATCCTAAATATACAAAGATCTCCTGCTAAAGACAACAGGAGGAGTCCCAGAGGAGGAAATACGATTATGAAATTTAATAATCGTATTTCCTACAAATTTCATACCAACATGAAAAGCTCTACCTCACTAATAGTTATGAAACTAAAGCAACACTGTATCCTTTTAACCTATCATATTGGGAAAGATTTATTTTAAACTAATAACCATAGTGTCAAAATGGACTTGTTATATGATAACTGATGTGAGTGTAAATTTCTAAAGCCTTTAGAAAGTTATTTGGGAATATGTATTAAGATATTTTGAAAGGTTAATACGCTCCACTTTTAGAAAAGAACCTCAGTATATAGAGATGTACACTGAATACCTTGTGGAAATGGAAAGAGCTGGAGAGCTGGTGACGGAAGAGAAGTTGATCGCCATCTAGAGGTCACCACACAAAGATTTTATATATCACTCTTCAGCCATATCTGTAACTGAAAAATTCTATACTTTAATATTTTCTAAAATAAGCCTAAGGGCCGGCCGAGTGGCTCAGTTGGTTAAGAGCTCGCTCAAGAGTTCGAGCTCTGAGCAACAGCGGTTCAATTCCCAGCCCGAGCTGAGCAGCCGCTGAGCTGCCCAACCGGTGGCAGGATGGCTCAGCTTAAAAAAATAAATAAATAAAATAAGCCTATATCAGTATTATAATCTTCCCATTCAAAAAAACAGTAAAATGTAAAAAATTATATCGATATATTTCAGATGAGAGAACACAATTCAATACTGGTATTTTACTATTAGTTTGTCAACCCCCTAAAAAGAACATATTTTAATGAGATGGTTCCTGGCATTCTTTCTGATGAAAAACAAAGAAGTTCAAGAAAAATAAGCAACTACCACCAATAAAAGGAAAAAAGGGTCCCAAACATTTATTGACCTCTTTCCCCAAATGTGACAGTGTTAAGAGAGTTTGCCTGAACCACATATTTCTTATAGATACAAAGAAGCTGTTGTGGCCTATGAGAATGCAAAACAATGGAACAGTGTCATCCGAATCTACCTGGATCACCTGAACAGTCCTGAAAAGGCCGTCAGTATTGTCAGAGAGACCCAGTCTCTCGATGGAGCCAAAATGGTAGCCAGGTAACATAAGGCATTAGTATTTTTGGAGTTCCAAAAACCAGCCTTAAAAGAAAGCCCCTGCTTCCCTTTATCGAATAACTAAATTCAAATGGAATATTCTTTTCTATTTTTTTTTATTAGGTATAAGTGTTTAAATTCAAAGGTGGTTTGTTGTGGTCAGCATATGAGATTATGTTTTTCAAATACAAGCATATAATGGGTTGTTGGAAAAGTCATTATGCATTTTTGCAACGGAAAAACATAGAAAAAATACATCGTGACTTTTACAACAGCCCAATAGGATAGAACTGCATTTTACCGAAATTGTAAATGTTTCTCATGGTTGAAAAAGATTTTATTTTGTAAATGACAAACTTATTTTAAATGTCAAGCTAATTTAAGGACTTTGTTTTAGGTTTTTTCTACAGTTAGGTGACTATGGATCTGCCATCCAGTTTCTTGTTATGTCCAAGTGTAATAATGAAGCTTTCACACTGGCTCAGCAACACAACAAAATGGAAATCTATGCAGACATTATTGGTAAAGATCGTTGTTTTCCCTAATTTCTCTTAAAGATTTTTATCATAGAAACAGTTTGACTTTTATGATCTAATGAGCAGGTTGGTATACCCACAAGCACATGCTCACATACATGGGTACACACACATTATCTATATGTTACTGGTTAGATTTGAAGAGCCCTACTATCATCTTAAAGGTGAGTTGGAATTATAAGACCATTTTCAAAAATTAAGGTTTTTCGGGGTGACTTCCAAGAGAGGCCATATTTCCCAAATCCTGCTATTGATCAACCAGCAGTAAAGCAAGGTTCCAAAATGAGGGTGACAGGAAATGCAGAATGAGTTTTGAAAAAGTAATTGGTTTTATAAATTTTAAAACTAAGTCACAAAGTAAGAATATATGATTACTTTGATGAAGAGTGATATACAAAAGATGTGGTTTTTAAAGACTTTGAAAGTCCAAAAGAGCATCTTATACTGAGAACACCTCTACACCTCTTAAAGGTTTTCTTCCCATGTTTGCAATTATTCTTGGAATCTACTGAAATAATTTTTAGATTTTAATCTTATGGGCCATACTTAACATGTGGTGTTGTTTTGTTTTTAAAAATTAAAACTATAATTGTAAAATACACATAACATATATGTACCATTTTAACCATTTTTAAGTGTACAGTTCTGTGGCATTAAGTACATCCACACTGTTGTGCAGCCATCACCACTGTGCAACTCCGAGACTTTTTCATCTTCCTAAACTAAAACTCTGTATCCATTAAAGAGCAACTCCCCATTCCCCTCTCCCCCCAACCCTTGGTAACCACTGATCTGTTTTCTGTCTCTACATTTGGCTAGTCATGGTACTTCATATAAGTGGAATCATAAAATATTTGTCTTGTTATTTATTTATTTTTTTAAATTCACAATATGACCATAAGAATTGATTATAGGACTCATGAGAATATTTTTGTTTGTCTTCAAGTGAAGAAACAGGTAAAAGCATCTTCTAATACCTTAGGAAGTCATTCAGATAATTGGAGAAAATAAAGAGCTATTGAAAAAAGGAAGCACAGATAAAAGCAACATTAGAATTATGACTGTTTAACTTGACAGATGACATTTTGTTCTAACATTACAAATCACTATTGTAGTAAAGCATTTACGTTTTTCAAATTTCTTAAGGATGTGGTTTATCCTATATAATACTCACACATGTGCGTGTGCACACACACATACACCCTCCCAGCCCCAACCTCCCAAAACAACACATACACCTTTCCACCCTTCTCTTATAGAGTCTGTGTCTGTCTTGAGCAAGAGGCACGGGACTGTTGTTATACTTAAGTGCTCTACTGGGTCCCAAGTCCCATGGGTTAATGTAAACAATGAATTGGAGCTCCAGCAGCTTTGGGGTCCTTCTTCCTCTGTGCTTAATATATTAAGCCTCAAACCAAAAGAAAAACAGTAATTGTCTTTAAATAGCACCCACTGGCCACTTGAATATATCTCCCTTACTTTCTAACAAATACATACAGACTATTGTTTAAACCAGGCATTGTTGAGAAAGGGAGATGGGTTACATTTGTATTATGGTTAACTTTGCTTCTGATTGTTCTGAAACTCCAGGCAAATCATGGTTGAGATCATAGTCATAGTTGTTCCTGTTCTTTTAGGAAATGAGGTTGAGACTCTCAAAGAATGATCAAAGTTGCTAAGGTGATGTCAAACGATAACCTACATTCTCGCAGAGCCTCATCATTTCCTCTCCTGAGTCCTTTTTAGAGTGAAAAGGTGAAACAAAGTTGATATGTGGGATAATTATGATGAGTATGTTTTGTTATGAAAACAGACACTGATGATAACATTGATATTTGCTGTTAAAAGTTTTTAATCACATATTTTTAGATCACCTGTTTTTAGGTCTTATTTTTAGGTTAACAATAAAAGGTAAACTCGTTTTCTCAGATATTTTACTCCATGAATGTCTGTTGTAGGTTCTGAAGACACTACTAATGAAGACTATCAAAGTATTGCCTTATATTTTGAAGGAGAGAAACAGCACTTTCAAGCTGGAAAATTCTTCTTGTTGTGTGGCCAATATTCACGAGTTAGTATTCGCCAAGAAAACATAGATTGGACTCCACAGGCGTGATTACAGAAAATAATTTAAAAATATATTATGCTCCTAGACACCTAGATTTGAATTCTCACAGTCAACTTTAAAGTCTTCCGTCTCCCACACCCAATCACGTTCTTCTTTCAGCATATCTCTCACATCTATTGCTTTTCATTATAATTATCATCAACTTAACTCAAACCCGGGTCAACTCACTTTAGATTATTGCTATAGTCCTGTTTTCCTTGTTATTAGTGTCTTTCCCTATAACACATCTTTCATTTTGTTCCCCAAATGGTACTTAATTTCATTGCTAAGAGCCCCTAAACAGGGGTTACAGTGTTCAAGCAAGGGACATAAATAAAGTTGTGGGGTTCATGTGTGACAGGATAGGGACTACTGGATGGCACCTCTTTTGTCTGAAGGGAACAACTTCTACTCAATCTCCAGGAAACTGTTGGCATTTAGAAGTTGGAGCTCAGTAGTGCCAGATCATATGATTTTTTTCACAAAACAGAAATCTGGGTCTCCCAATTTTAAAATGTGGACACAAATATTTGTATAATACCTTGCTGGCCAAAGAAACATGTCTGTGTGTGCATTCAGTCTTGAGGCCACCAATTTGCTGTTTCTGGCCTCTTAGATACTAAATACTAAATCCAAACTCCTTCACAATTTTACCAGCCAGGCTGAGCTTTCTGTCAGCATCAAGCTCTTCCCATTGGAGAGCCCTGCACTCCTGCTGGCCTTTCCCATCCATATTCTCCATCTGCCTTCCCCACTTACCACAGACCTGTTCATCTTCGAGTCCTTTTTCCTCTGTGATACCTGTGGGATCATCCCAGTGTTGAATCAGCTCTTCTTCCTCAGAGCATCTATAAAGCCAACTGGCTATGTGCCCATTCATCTCTTAAGTTTTTATAACCTTAAATGTCTTCCTAGGTGTGGTGGTATGATGTTCAGGAGTTAGACAGTTATGATTTAAAATAATTGGTTCCTTATATTATCATTGCATCACATAGATCTCCTGAATTAGATGGTACATAATACAAAAAGAGGGGCCATATCACACCCTTCCTGGTATTCTCCATAGCATCTAGCAGTCTCATATGTATAGTAGCAGGTTGTTGTAAATATTTGTTGAATGAGTAAATGCATGAAAATGATTAAATCTTCCTACTGAAAGAGAGCACATTTTCCATTTTCATTTCATCAGAAATCAGAACTAGATTCTTTAGAGGATTAGCTGGATCCTTCCATCTTGTAAACTACACTCGGCCTCTTAAGTGTATATTTTAGGACCCAGCACTGTTCAAGCCCCTAGTTGAGATGAAGATACTTTCACAAACTATAATTACTCTGTGTGTGTGAAAGCTTTGTTTTTCTCAATGTGAAAGCAGCCTGAAGATTTTTTTCATTGCTCTACAATTCTCATTTCAGGCACTTAAACACTTCCTGAAATGTCCAAGCTCAGAAGACAATGTAGCAGTAGAAATGGCAATTGAAACTGTAAGTAAACTCTGTAATGAAACTTTCAAGAATACCAATATTTTTTAAAAAACTTTTAAAGACGTTTCCAAACATATACAAAATAACACCAAACTCTCGTGTCATCATTTAACTTCAACAGCTGTCAACACGTGGCCAGTCTTCTTTTACCCACAACTCCTCATCCTCTTTCCCTAGATGATTCTAAAGCAAATCATAGATGTTATTCTCTAGGTGACATAGTCACTTAACCTTAAGAAAGTTTCTGTTAAAACACCCAGGAAGTATATTCTCTCTCTGTGTGAAAAAAGTACAGTATTTTGATAAGCAACTTAAAAAAGCTACAATTTCTAAGGACGGATTTTTATTAATGGCGACTCTAAATGAATGAAGAGAGACACTGAACTTATGTTTCAGGCACTTGACTAGGTATTTTTACATATTTTTAAATTCCATTTCCTTAGCAGATTATTTGTCCTCCCTCCCCCTCCCCTTTTTAGGTTTAAGATTTACGTTTACTGTTCCTTTCTCTTCCTGAACAGGTTGGTCAGGCCAAAGATGAACTACTGACCAGTCAATTGATAGACCACCTTATGGGAGAGACTGATGGAATGCCTAAGGTACTAAAAAATGTTTTTTTACTTGGATTTTTAAGTATCTTAATTATGATTTTACTTTATTTTGCCCTGTTTTTACCTGTTGTTGCTTTTGCGTCAGACTTATAAAATTTTCTCTCTGAATGTAATCTTAGGTCTTCTAGAAAGACCCTGCATTTTAAAGGATATTGTGTACACTCTTTCTTTGAAATTAGCATTGCCACCTGTGACATAGCCACGTCCCTCTAGATAATAATCCTTACCACTCACAATTTTTCTAAAATGTTAGTTTTATGTAGTCTAGGAACTATTAAAAATGATTATTAGAACTATGAGTTAGCAGTAATTCCTAAAAATTAGTGTACTTTGTTCATATTTCAAAAATTATGAGACTAAAAATCATATTTAGCATAAAACTCACTAGAAATAGAAAGTAGAACTAAATCAATAAGAACTTATTTTGAGACTATGAGACTCTATTGGAGTTCGTGTAGAAATCAGTCTTTTCTGAGTCCTGGTGGGGACAGACGCATATGCCTATGAGTCTGCCCTCAGATCTTTTTCTTCCCTTTTGCTTTGGTGTTCGAGGGGATGTGTGTGTGAAGGAACTCAAGTCACAGGTTTGGAGAGAAGGCACTAGAATGTCACAGCTGGAGAGGATGGTCACAGTCCTGATCCCAAGTCCATCTCCTCTTTCTTACAGATAAAGACCCTGAGACCCAGGGAGGCTAAGTTAACCTGGCAAAGGGCACAGACCCTTAGACTGTCCGAAACCACCTCCCCATACGTCCACTTTTTGTAATAATCAAGAAATGGCACCAATTATGTGAAATTGTCTAGAGTTAAAGAGAATACGAGTAGAAAATGGTCAAAGGCCAAAGAAAATTTTATAGGCCAGAGAAATTTATATGGGGTAAAGATTTTTGAGATTTTTCTAAGTTGGTCCATTGTATAAGAATGTTTCATTTTCAGAGACAGAGGTAAGGTTAGGAACAAAGACTCTGAAGCCAGATCACTGTGGTTCAAATCCTGGCCCTGGAGAGGTCCTGTTGTGCTTTGGTTTCTCATCGTGAAATTAGTATATAATCGTGCCTTACTCCCAGGGAGGGTATGAGGATGTAAACGGGTCATATTTCTCAAGTACTTAGACTACTTTCTGGCATATATTAAACTCTAAATAAATATTCGATAAATAATCATTGGGTTTTTAAAAACAATATCAACCCTCAGTTACTGGAAAGCAAATGTGATTCTAACTGAAATGCAAAATTTTAGGCATTTCTCCCCTTAGCTAATGAAGAAAGTGATGTTTCTCTAATGGTTTGTATGTCAGGATGCCAAGTACCTGTTCCGCTTATACATGGCCCTGAAAAAATACCAAGAGGCTGCCCGGACTGCCATTATAATTGCCAGAGAAGAGCAGTCTGCAGGTAGGTCCCTGATATTCATGTTTTTATCCCCAAACAAGTAGTAGAACCAATCTCCCAAACCCTTCTCCACCCAGGGAAGAGTAGCTCGTTTCTAATCTATGCTTGCTTTCAACCCAGAGGACTAGGTGGTGACCATTTCTAGGTTCCAGAGAAGGAAAATAATTCACCATCATAGGGGGATACCCGGTCTTGTCAGGTGCTGTTTCCTCCACTCCTTCAGGGTGCCACAGTTACAGTCTGGACGGCTTCTCTAACCTCTCCAGCCTGTAGCCTCCTGCACTCTCCCCCACCTTCTTTCCGTCCTATGTATTTGACCTTAACAATATAAAAGATGTTAGAAGATGGGGGATGATGTGGTATTATTATGGACCTAGTTATTTATAATACGCAGGGACTCTTTATAGACTCTCCAGAATGGTTGTGCACGCACATGTGCTCCGTAAATATTTATTGGATAACTCCAAGAAATAGTCTGGTATCTTAATTAATTTTTGTAAGCTGATTTCTTAGGTGTTCACAAATATGGAACATATTTTTGGAAAATACAGAATAACTGATCACTTTATTCAGCTTACGTTTAACACCTGCTGTCTGTCAGGTACATGTTAGGAGCGCAGGACTCAGGGAACTGTGCCACAGGTCTGCCCTCAAAGATTCACGATTTGACAGGAGAGACAGAAAGTAAGTTCAGAGTTATTATACAGGGTGATGGTGCCAGAGTACAAACATTAAAAGGGCACCAAGAAAGGGGACCTACCTCATCCCGAGGGTTGGGGGTACGGAAAGTTGGAGGATGGAGATAAGAGAAGGCAACAAAAGCTTCAGCTGAGTTTTGAAAGATGAGACAGCAGGAGATGAGGGAGAAAGAGGTGTGGGGAGAGTAACAGCACGTGAGCACACATGCGGAGGAGTGAGGGACGCTGCGGCATTTACCGTGACTGAGCAGGAGGGGCGGGCAAAGATAAGGTTGGAAAGGTAGTCAGAGGCAGATCCTGAAGGGCTTAAGTCCTGTGCTCAGGAATTTGCACTTGATCCTGAGGGTTTTATATTAGAGGTGTGACCTTGAAGTTTTGGGTGTAGCATGAGGCTTGAGGCTTTTACAAGAACACTGACATCAGAATGGAGGCAGATGATACTCAGGAGGAATACTGGTTAGTACACTACTGTAGAGAGACGACAGGAAGCATTGATAGGGGCCTGGGAAGACAGGCTGAACCGGGGAGACTTAGAAGGTAGACTCAGAACTTGATGACCCATTGGACTTTGGGGCCAGGTGGGTGCCCTGAGGAAGGGTGAGACATCTATGTTGTTGCCACCATTCCTGAGGGACTAGCTGGATGTTAGTTCCATCGGTCACGATAGGAAAAATTAGCAAGTTACTTTGTGTAAGAAATTAAGATATTGCTAATAACATGATTAACAAAAGCCACCTGTAAGATGAGGGTCCAGACATTCCTCAGAATTCATCCTTTGCAGTAATGTCATCTTACCACCTTTTTTTCAAGGAAAGTATCGGAATGCTCATGACGTTCTTTTCAGCATGTACGCAGAACTGAAATCCCACAAGATCAAAATTCCCTCCGAGATGGCCACCAACCTCATGATCCTGCACAGTTATATATTAGTCAAGGTGAGGCCCTTTGGATGACTTGGGATGTAACTTGCCAGGTGTGTTTATCACCTGCCGGGATTTCCTTTGGGCACCTTTCTATTTATTAGAGCAATTTCCTCAATCTCTGTATTGTTAAGTGAAAAAAGCAAGATAAAGAATAACTATACAGTATGCTATCTTTGGTGTACCAAAAGGCAGAAAACAGGAATGACTATATATTCATTGCAAATACAATTAGAAATATACTAAAGAAAACTAGCCGGAGTAGTTTCCTAGAGGAAACAACGTGTGGTGCAGAGGAGGCGGGCCCCGAACCCGATCAGGGCGGACGGGGTCAGAGGGGAGTAGCTTTCTCCGAGTATATACTTTCAGAGTGTTTGGATTTTGAAGCATATAAATGTATCACCTAGTCAAAAAAAAAAAATTTACTGAAATATTTTTGTTTAACCAGAGCTTGCTAGTTTATTAATTCAAACAGGGTGGATTGTAAACAATTCCACCAATATTTAAAAAAATTTTTTTTATTGAGGTATAATTGACATAAGTGGAATCTAAAAAACAAAACAAATGAACAAGCAAAACAAAACAAAACCAAAAGCAGAGAACAGAATGATGGTTGCCAGAAGGATAGGGGGTTAAGGAGTGGGCAAAACAGGGAAGGGAGTCAAGAGTACAAACTTCCAGTTATAAAATAAGTCACGAGGATGTAATGTACAGCTTGGTGACTATAGTTAATGACATTGTAGAGCATACTTGAAAGTTGCCAAGAGAGTAAATCCTAAAAGTTAACTTTGTATTATGATGGGTAGTAACTGGCCTTAGTGGTGATCATTTCACAGTGTATACAAATATTGACTCATTATGGTGTACACCTGAAATCAACATAACTTTATAAGTGAAATCATATGGCATTTGTCTTTCTGAAATTTCTGGCTTATTTCACTTAGCATGATTCCCTCTCGGTCCATCCATGCTGTCACGCACGCTTTCCTCCTTTTTTATGGCTGAGTAGTATTCCATTATATATACACACCGCATCTTTATCCATTTATCCATTGATGGACACGAGGTTGTTTCCGTATCTTGGCTATTGTAAATAATGTGTGATGAACATGGACGTGCATATATATTTTTGAATTAGTGTTTTCGTTTTCTTTGAATAAATAACCCAGAAGTGGAATTGCTAGATTGTATGGTACTTCTATTTTTAATTTTTTGAGGGAACCTCCATAACATTTTCCATAATGGCTGCATCAATTTACATTTCTACCAATAGTGCATTCTTATTTCTTATCTTTTTTATAACAACCATTCTAACAGATGTGAGGTGATATCTCAGTGTGGTTTTGATTTGCGTTTCCCTGATAATTAATGATACTAAGTGTCTTTTTCATGTGTCTGTTGGCCATTTATATGTGGTCTTCAATTCCACTATTTTTTTTTTTAAAGATTTTTTATTGGGGAATTGGGGGGATGGAAACAGTGCTGGGGAATTGGGGGAAGGGGAACAGACAAGTTGCTGTCGTTTT